ATTCGTAACAATGCCAATGTTTTGGCTCAAGTACCGAGCTTGTGCCTTTGAGCACGGTAGTTTCGTACAGTAGCTCTTAGGTTGCTGTGCGGTCCGACCGGACGCACTCAGGCGTAGCTGCACAAGTGCTTGAACTCGCGAAGTCGTAAAACAGCGTGGCCGGGCTGTGATTGCATTGGCTTAGTGCAAGTCCAGTGCTGGTCGACTTCACAACATATATATATATATATATTATGTATATTATATGTATGTATATGCGTATGCATATACATATATATATGTATGTGTATCTGTATGTAGGTATATACGTATATACATATATGTGTATATGCATGTCTTATGAATATGTTTGTTCCTTCGTTTAGTTACTCAGATGTCAGAAGCATGGTGCGCATACTCAAGGACACAGCCGAGCAGCAGCGTACCCTGCTCCACCACCAAGTCCTGTGGCGTCAACATGTCTGACATTGAGTTTGGTGCTTAGAATCTTAGAATTTCGAGGTGCACATCCCACATTCATAAAACTGGGACAACATAAGTACACCTGTATTTACTTTCACTTAGATGAATCACGTCTTTGCGAGATCCTGGGGCACGAAGTCGTACTCCACGGAAGGGTACACTTGAACGATGTTGCCCCGTCGCCCGCGCACGTTGTAGTTCACAATCCGCCGATCGGCCGGAACATCGGCAGGGCGTTGCATGACCTGGCTCAGAAGTGTTGTCGCAAAGCCTGCAGTCCCAAGCCACACCTCTTCACACAGTCCGCAGCTACTTGGAGGTTCATGGGTAGCTACAAGTAGGGTCAGAAGTACCTAAGGGTGATAAGTTACTAGCCCCAATGTGGCGGAGTGGCCAAGAAGGTGTGGGTGCGGTCCTCGAAGGTGCGCCCGTACCTTAAGGAGTCGCGCCATGGTCTTAATCGAACTCGTTGGCTTATAAGGGGTTTAGGGGTTTTAGGGTTATGAGGGTACAGAAGGGTTGAGGGTAGCCATCTCCATGGATCTCCTTCTCTCAGTCGAAAGTTGATCTTGGGACTCTACCTCGGACCTCTGAGGTTTAGGGTTTAGGGTTTAGGGTTTAGGGTTTAGGGTTTAGGGTTTAGGGTTTAGGGTTTAGGGTATTTAAAATCTCCAGAAACAAGTGGTCATAAAAACCATTCGCTTCCTCTTCACTGAATCAGGGGCATGAACCCTAAACCACTACACTCGGAAAGCAAAGCTTTGGTTTTGTAGCGTCCATGCCCTAAACCTTTTCAGGCTGTTTCGGGTTTAGGATTAGGGTCTCAGGGGCTCTTATGACCTATATCTCTACTTATGTCTACTTAATGCCGCCCGTATTTCTTTTCTCAACAGCCTTCTGTCCATTCGCCCGGAAGGGTCTTACCCGTTCCCCGAACATTGCAAGACACCTTGATGTTAACCCTAAAAATTTAACACCTGAAGGCTTGAGCTCTTTCTGCGGTTCCTCTGCTACTCCCTTTCAGTAGGCTCCACCTCTAACCTTAACTGTAAACGTTCTGTAGGGAGACCCCCTAGATGGGGAGGGGCCGCGGTATCAAACACACACGCACACACACACACACATACAGACACAAACACAGACACAGACACAGACACCCACAGAGACACACAGAGACACACACACACACACAGAGACACACAGAGACACACACACACACACACAGAGACACACAGAGACACACACACACACAGACACACAGAGACACAGAGACACACACAGAGACACACACACACACACAGAGAGACACGCACACACACACACACAGACACACACACACACACATACACACACACACACACACAGACACACACACACACACACAGAGACACACACGCACACACACACAGACACACACACACACACACACAAAATATGCATGCGCACATATGTTTACGCGCACATATGTTTACACCTACACGTGTGTGTGTGTGTGTGTGTGTGTGTGTGTGTGTGTGCATGCATGTACACTTCGTACATGAGCATGTGCATATCTGCATAGACCTCCACGTCCACATCCGCGTCTGCGTTGGCATGAGCATGTATGTACACATGTACATACACAGACCTATGTGTTGAAATGCGGTCTGTTCGAGCATCCTACATGTTGTGAGCCTTTCTAAAGGCCACACCTTCAAAGCCAAAACAAATCCCAAAACCCCCAAGTTCCCAGCAAGCCCTCAACCGTAACATACCGTGACTTAATGGGTACTTTATGGATTCGGGAGCCCCTATCCCAGCCGCGCCACTGGTTTGTGTTCACCTGCAGCTGAATGAGCCGGCTGGTGTCGGTGGCTCCCTCGCCCAAGCCGATCCAGTCTGCTACGGGGTCCTCTTACAGCCATGGCAGAGCAAAAGAGAAAGAGATATAGAATGAGAGCGAGAGCGAGACAGAGAGAGAGAGAGAGAGAGAGAGAGAAAAAAAACTAACAAAAAACAAAAATAAATAAAGAGAGATAGCAAAAAAGAGAGATAAAACAAGAGAGAAACAGAGAGAGATGGGGGGGAGCTTGTAAGGCGAAATCCCAAATGGGAGGTCACAAGTCGGACTAGCAGTCGAGCAGGCCACCCGTCAATTGTAGTGGTTTAGGGTGTATAGTTTAGGGTTAGGGATGTACATACTGATTCCATCGTTAGAACCGGGTTGGACAAATTCTGGCGCATTCATGTCTTCAGATTCCCAGAATCATTCTCAGCTTATGGGTTTGAAGTCTGAGTGTTCAGGGGCGACGTTCAAGCTTGGTACATGCTGATCGAGACTTGCTCGTCAAGGTTTCGCGTACCTATAACCCTGTTCAGTGTTGTCATAACCATACTACCCATGAACCTGAAAAAATAGAAGTCCTGTGCCAGGGGCACGGGGACGCCAGGTCGACCCGAGAAGGTCCGCCGCCTAGCCATGCAGGTTTGGAAGGACAGCGTGTGTGTTAACATAGGCCACGTGCTTTAAATTTGCGGGGTTTAGGGTTAGGGCTTTGAGGTTTCAGGGTTGAGGCTTTCGTTTGGCACCTCCGATCGTTGGGATTGGGATCGTTGAAGCTGCGGTCCATGAAGAAGGGGTCTGCCTTGATCCCGGAGAGCGCGGTGCCCTCCTCCGTGGGGTTAGCCAGGGAGCCCAGGGAGAAGTCGCCGGTGGTGATGTTGTAGCGGATGCGCAACACCACACGGCCTTTGATGTGCTCGGGGATCTTCCAGAGGTAGTACTGGGGATGGCCATTCCTCACGTTCCCGTTGTGGTTGTCACGGCTGGCGATGCCTCCGACGCATTCAGGCGGGGGCTCGTCGAAAGCCGGCTCCACAATCCACCTCGGCAAGGGCATGCAAGTGTAGAGTCTATGGGGGTACACGGTGTACCTTGGCACTCGTGATCACTCGCGTGCGCACGTCTCTATGCAGCCCTCTTAAGGTCGGCACTCTCCCTCGTTCCCGATGCATGCATCAGGGCTGTTGTACAGGTTGATGGAGCAGCGACCCTTCTCTTTGACGTTCTGCGACTCTGCACGGTAGTACTCGCAACGTTCCTGGGGCTCGTCGGTGAAAATGGCAATGTCGTGCCAGGGCGATGGGTGCCAGTAGGGGTAGTAGTCCCTCTCCTGCAAAACGATGCATACGGGCAGGGTGAAGCTTACACACTGGCTTTCACACAATTGTACTACATGTACCATCTTGGCGTGAACTAAACTTCTCAGTGCTACTCTGTGGGAATAACACTGCGAGAGCTCTTGGGGTCCTCCGGGCACTCTAGGCCGTGGCGTTGGTTGCCGCGTCGGCGGCCATTGCCATTGGGGTTCTGCCTCGTGGACGTGGCCCCGCCGTTCTCCTCGATCTGCTGGTCAGCGGTGAAGAGCCCCTTGTTGCGCTCTCGCTCGTAGCAGGCCTGGTAGAAGTCCAAGGGCTCGTGATAGCCCCTTGCCACCTCGGCCGTCTCTTCGTCGGTAGGGTCCTCATCATCGCCGCCGGCAGAGTCCTGATCTGTCCCATCCCGAAGCGTGGGATTGTCGACTTCACTCATGTACTGCAGGATGATCTGGCAACGCAGGTTCGGATGACCCACGCCACAGCCATGCTGCATGTACCAGTCGATGTAGAGTTCTGAGCCCTGGTAGAACTTCATGGTCCCTTTCGTGGCACCCTCCTTGGTTGCGTCGTAGTTGTTGTTCTCGTCCTTGCACGCCGGCTTGCAATCGTCGCCAATTTGGTAGCCGGATGCTGCATTGTTTTGGGAGTCAAACAGGCGGTTGGCATTCTGCACGTTGTTGCTCTGCTCACGCAGCTTGTTGTTGGAGCCGCGCGGGCTGTTCAGGTACATGTCAGCCTGTACCAGCTGGAAGAAGCTCAGCGCAAAGGCGAACGTTCGCATAGCCATGGCGTAGGTTGATTTGAGAAGCTGATGAGAAAGCTACGACACAGGTGGTCGAGGCAGAATTGGAGGGAGCGGAGGCTTGGGCCCATGCACAAGGGAACATCCGCGAAGACAGCAGTGGCCTGTTGACGCCATATAGGCAAGCTCCGTGCTGCTAGTGCTAGGTGTCACCATCTTACACGATCGCAACCCTAAATCCTACGAAACCCTAAACCCACCGGCATGCATCCGGACAAGACGCACATATGAGAGAAAGACTGTGCCAGCCAAACCTCGCTGCAAAACCCCGCATTCCACCATCTCCTTGCAATGCACCCTACACCCAGATCAAAAATGCCAAACGCCATGCATGGGGGGTTGACCTGAATTCTGAGAGCTTTATGGTACCCTGAACTTCAAGGAGACATGCTGTAACGAGGAACCCGAGCTCCTACTTGGAGGTTCAGGGTACTTATAACCCTAATAATACATCTCTAGGGTTTTAAGTAGACTTATAACTGTGGTTATAAGTACCCATGAACCTGCAAGTAGCCCCAAACCCCAAACCCCAAACCCTCTAAACCCTAAACCCTCTAAACCCTAAACCCTAAAGGCAGGGAACCCCTGAGCCCCAAACGAAGGGGACAGCCACGCCGGTGGTTCACGATCCACCGCCAAGTGATGTTGATCCGGGGGGGCCAGAAGTCGGCGCGCCTGGTAGCTAACTTAGGTTAGGGCTCCCGGTCCGCCGGGGTCAGAGGTTTTGAGGCCCTTTGGATTGGGAAGGGGTAGGTTTGGGGGCCCTGTAAAAAGTGATAATGGATTCTACCCCAGTTTGGTTCTTGCAGTGTGGGGCTTGGTTTCTGTGGTCATGGTGGGCTAGGGATCTATTAGCATGCTTTTGGAATCTCATGCTTCAAAAGTCTCCGCGCTTCCGTCGGGCATGCGGTGCGAGGTATGTGGCGGGTACCACGTGTGATGACATTCTCAAGGAAACCGTATAAAGCAACACAAACTATGGTTTATTTCAACTTGTACCTGTCAAGAAACCTTCCAGACACCCCATCAGATCAAACCTAACACGTGAGCATCAACAATCCAAGCCACCCGAACCGATACAACTCGGCTCCCAAATCTCCTACTTCTACTACTACTTGCCTAAAAACCCCCCCCCCCCCCCCAAACAAAAAGACATAAAATAAACGCATAACGCATTCCTATGAGGGTAATATATATATATATATATAGGGAATATTGTTCTTGTTTTTGTTGGGTTCTTAAGCAAAGAGTAGTAACCGTAAACCCGAAACACTCAACCTCAGCAAGCAGCAATTGTTCACAGAGGCACTGCCGCGGCTCCCGCGTCAAGAAGTGAAGGGTGTGCTTTTGCATCAAGCCTTCCTCGAAGTCTGATTCCAGTGAATCTCAGAGGATTAGTGCTTAGGGTTTAGGATTTAGGGTTTAGGGTTTCTTGCCACCTGCCTAGAAGCCTCGCAACCACACTGCAGCGATGCAAATGTCCATCAGTCATGAGCAGTCGGAGAAATAACTACAGGATAAAGCTTCAAAAGTTATTGCCTATGTGAGGTCACCGTACGAGCATGACGATTCATCTCAAGTCCCGGGTTTAGGGCCGATATGTGTGTGTAGGTTTTAGAGCTTAGGGATTAGGGTTTCGACATCACAATGTTTATAACAAGGACAAGTTCAACATGCCACACCACCCTGTGCGTAAGGGGCACTCCCCCCTCCACTCCCCCTGAGGACAGCTCCATACTCAAGAGATCGCCATGGCGCAGGTCAACTTCCACCACGCTCTCCTTCCGGAAAAAGGTTTAGGGTTTGGGGTTCCAGCTTTCGGGTTTAGGGTTTAAGGATTAGGGTTTAAGGTTTAGGGTTTTGTTTGCTCAGTTCCCTGGCTCTGGCTTCCGGCTAATTCGACTGCCAAGCCTAGCCAGCGCCTCTGCATGCAATCCCTGATTCCCCTCAACCCTAAGCCCCAACTCCCTAAACCCCAAACCCGAAACCCTAAACCCCTTAACCGTAAACCCTAAACCCCAAACCCTAAACCCAGAAACCCGAAAACCTTAAACCCAGAAACGCTAAATCCTGAACCCTAAGCAACAACATCTGTCACACCCAAGGCCATGCACACCGACCGAGCCCACCATGACTTGGTAGGGTTGTCTCCGAACAAAGGCACTGCATTTAGGGTTTAGGGTTTAGGGTTTAAGGTTTAGGGTTTAGGGTGTAGGTTTGTGTTTTTTTAGGGCTCAGGGTTCAGGGGTTGGGGAAACGACAAGTCACCAGCGATGTGCCAAGAAGCCGTGTCCTGCGAGGGCTCAGCACCCTCTGTCTTCAGGGCTATCCTGCATAGCAGAAGGGACGGGGCAGCCTATCTGTTCGAATTGTTTGAGGAAGAACTTTAGGGTTTAGGGTTTAGGGTTAAGGGGTTTAAGGGTTTAGGGATTTATTGGTTAGGGGTTTAGGGGTTTAGGGGTTTAGGGGTTTAGGGGTTTAGGGGTTTAGGGGTTTAGGGGTTTAGGGGTTTAGGGGTTTAGGGGTTTAGGGGTTTAGGGTTTAGGGTTTAGGGTTTTGGGTTTAGGGAGAACAATGTGTGCCTCTGATGCGCGCTGCCACAAATCAACGAGCTCATAGTCGTATCCAAAGCCGAACGCAGGTGATCAACAGTACGAACTGCTCTTTGGCACGGTTCGTGTTTCAGTGTGGGTATTCAACGGATTCTAGGGGGCCCTGGCCTTTGGGATAAGAATCGTGAAAGTACCATGCCCTGTATCAAAAGGTGCTTAAGATTGGCAAGCTTGGGATCACTGAAGTGCTCTCTACACCTGCATAGGCTACGCTCCGCGGGCTTCTAGCTCAACCCCTCCCCCGAAAGAACTCCAAGTCCAGTTCGTAAGCCTGTCGCCTTACCCATGAAGCTTACACCGAGGGTTGCAGGCTCAGTGCCATCCTGGTCGGCTCCGAGAGCCCAATACTTGGAGGTTCATGGTACTTGCTAACCAATTATAACTGTACTTATAGCTGTACTTATAACTGTACTTATGACTGTACTTATAACTGTACTTATGACTGTACTTATAACTGTACGTATAGCTGTACTTATAACTGTACTTATAAGCCTTTAAGGGGCTTATAAGTACAGCTATAAGTACAGTTATGATTGGTTAATAAGTGCCATGAACCTCCAAGTGTACCCCTCAGCTAAGGAATCTGCACTCAATTACAAAGGAACCCTGAGTACGAATGCTATTCCTTTGTCTTGGCAGCCGAGTAGCCATACTACAATAAGAGTACTTTTTTGGGGGCTGCTTGCTTTTTTGTTAAGGGAACCTTGAAAAAAAGGGAAAGGGGTATTCATACTACAATAAGGGTACTTTTTTGGGGGTTGCTTGCTTTTTGAGGGAACCTTGAACCAAAAAAAGGAAAGGGGTACCTTTAAGGGAAGCTTGAGCAAACAAAGGGAAAGGGGTACTTTTAAGGGATTCTTGAACCAAAAAAGTGAAATCCTACTTTTAAAGGAACCATGAACCAAAAAAAGGAAAGGGTACTTTTAAGGGAACCTTGAACCAAAAAAAGGGAAAGGGGTATTGATCATCTTTGGTCACTTCTCTATACTCCCCTTAGGGCCTTAATAATAATAATAATAATAATATTCAATACCCTCTTGGGTTTTATATGAACAAAAATTAAAAACTATTCCCAAGGGGGATATAGTTATCGGTCCAGAACTCGCGCCGCCCGCCCAAAGAAAGCGACACGATGGAGCAGTCCTGGCTTCGCGTCTCCGGCGGGTTTAGGGTTTAGGGTTTTAGAGGGTCGAAGTTTTGGGGTCCAATACCCCTTTCCCTTTATTTTTGGTTCAAGGTTCCCTGAAAAGTACCCTTTCCTTTTTTGGTTAGGGTTTATAGCTTATGGTTAGGATTTGGGGGTAGACTAGGGCCTAAACCCTAATCATGAGGGAGAGCCCTACTTTGGCAAGTACGTTCAGAAGCCTTTCCGCCTTGTAAAGAACTATGGCTCCCCTAGTTGCCCCCAAAAGCATACTGTAGGGCCTGCTCTGACCCTCACCCTAAACCCTAAACCCCAAACCCGAAACCCGAAACGCGAAACCCCAAGCCCGAAACCCGAAACCCCAAACCCCAAACGAGAAACCCCAAGCTCGGAAGCTCTTCAGATGTTGTGGGCCTTCCTAAAACCATTCTTTACCTACAGTTTACGGTTTAGGGTTTAGGGGAACTACCCCCTGAACTAGTAGGTATAACTGACCCATACAGAAAAACAAGTAAAGAGAGAGTCCCAGGTTTGCTTTTGAAGCATCATCAGCGCATCAGGAGTTTAGGGAGCATAGTCTACTAGATGACAAGGTTTCGGGTTTTTCGCAGAGGTTTCCCTACTGCCCCCTGGCTGCTCCTGTCTAGGGTTTAGGGTTTAGGGCCCTAAACCCTAAACCCTAAGCCCCAAGCCCCAAACCCTAAACCCAGGGCTACTGGTATGGCAAGCGGCTATGGACTAAGGGGAGCTTGTGAGGGAGTAAAGTGTAATATAGAGGCGCTCTCCCCGTTAATTAGAATAGGGTGTTGAGGGTCATTATACTATTTTCTAGACGTGTCTAAAAAAAATGCAACTGGATACTACTTTTAGACATGTCTAAAACATGGTATCCAGTTGTATAGAAATCATGAGGGAATACTATTCAACTATTCGAAGCTTTTCGAAGCTTTTGAGAGTCCCCAACTGCGGTTCTCCCAAACAATCCCAAAACACGAGGTTTGCACCGTAGCCCAGGCGAGAACAAAGGCTTCCTAAACTTCAACCCTTCGCCCCACCGCCACACACACACATCGGGTTTTGTAGGGTCTGTCCTGCACTTTGCCCTGAAAGAGACTCTCGTCGTCCGAGTGCCAGCCGACGGATTGCGTGCCGTCCTCCAGCGGCCAGACTTCTGCGATGCCTCACACTATCTGAACACCCTGAACATCGTCACTATACTACTGATTGCTTAAGACCCCCCCGAAAAAGATAATAATCCCGTATATTACCTGGTAAGGAAGAATATGATTCTTAATTCTTAATTGAGCAGTAGTTTATGAACTCATGACAAGCCATTTCCGAATTGCCCTCCCTCTCCGCCGCCCCGCAGTCCGCGTAGTAGTTCAGGTTCGCGGAGTTTGGCCAGTCTTCCGGACCTTATACTTGAAGAAACACAGGTTTCGACAAATAACCCAAATATATCTGTACTCAAAAAACCCATTGGCACCGGCAAAGACCCCGAACAGCATGGACGTCAGGAAAAAGGGAGGCGCCACCCATCCAGACGGGCCCCCCCAGCTCCCGAGTCCCGTTCCACCCATCCAGCCAGTTGCGTTCCTTCCTTCTTCTGAGGAGAGGACCCCGAATGTGCTGTTTGGGGAATGATTACCGTATTACGGGTGCTTAAGCGCACGTAGTAGGGCATTTCCCCAAATAAGGATACCCTTAATATACCCCCTAAACCCCTATAAGACTTACAATGAGTTGCGTTTTAAGTACTACGTAGGGTGCTAACTCTTGGCTGACTCCTGAACCCCTCCTGAAAGGAAACAGGTACCTAAAAAACCTGTGAACTTGTGGACAGTTCTCCTTTTGTATTGGGTGGAGGGGTTGGTTACGACCGTGATACTCTTTCCATGCCCAAAACACCGGTATTTACAGCGTTTGTGCTCCTCTACACAACATGCTGCACCAGGACGTTTGACGTTTCTGTAACAAGACGCACTGTCACAAGGCTTATGCGAACGGTGTGTCGTCATGATTCTCGAACCAAAAACAACTGCCACCAGAAGCAACATAAAAGAACAAAAACAAAAACTACACAAAACTGACCCTTGTGTGCATGTCGTAAAACATCGTAAAGACCATGGTTTTATGTGCTTGTTTGCCGCCATTGCGCCCTTTCACTAGAACGCCCGAAGTGAAAGGAGTAACGTGTACTTCTGTATCAAATATTTCAGGTTCACAAGCTAAAAGTTCAAAAACCATCGGTTTTTTACAGTGCTTCTTGCTTCTTGCTTCTTGCTGTGGGACATCCTAACCTAATTCTCGCGTTCCTGAAACATGTACATGCAGACTGTGCTTGAGCAGCTAACACCCACGCGAAAACAGCGTCCGAACCTCCAAGTCCCCAGGCTTATTAGGTACCTGTGACCTCCTAAAAGTTTAACTTTTGAGCTCCTTATTGTAGTTTCTACAAAAGCCAAAAAGTTAAAGTCTAAGAGTCAGCCAGAAGAAAGCCAAGAACTCTGAATGCATTTGCAGTGGACCTGAACACCCAAAGCACCAACGGTTCACCCTGAACTGCTGAGCGCTACGCTGAGAACCCGCCTGACTATACGGACTATACTTGAAGTAGGGTTTATATTTCTTGTACCCCGAAAAGGACATCAAATATATACACTCACCAATATTAAAAGGGAACCTTATATACACACCAATAACAGTAATGTAAACCCTGCTTCACTTGGCCTAAGCTATCACAATTACTTACAACCCCTCTTAGACTGGACTGATTCACTTATAACCCCTTGAAACCCCAAGTTCTAACTCTGGGAACCCCACCTAAACCCTAAACCCTAAACCCTAAACCCAAAACAACAACCTGCAGCCAGCTGAGGCTGCATCCCAGCTTTGGAGTCAGCCGCGAGAAGACCAGCTCAGTCAGCCTGGCGAGTCTCCACTTCGGATTTTGGTTCAGGGTTCAGGGTTCGGGGTTTAGGGTTTAGGGTGTAGGGTTTAGGGTGTAGGGTTTAGGCAGCTTCCAAGGTTGAGGGTTTAGGGTTTCCCAGACACCTGGGAGGATCCAAAAAGTAGATGCCCTGAAGGGTTCCTAAGACTGACCCAAAAGTACTATACTACAGGGCACTATTTGGGGGTTCTATTCTTTGGATCCTGTCAGGGGGTCTGGGTTAGAGGTTCTTTGTTGTCCAGTAAACAACTAAAGCTTACCCTTAGGCCCTTTGGGATTATCAGGGAATATAAGACCCCCAAAAAGGTTAAAGGCTACCTACTCCCCTAAGCCCTAAACCCTAAACCCTAAACCCTAAACCCTAAACCCCAAACGGTTGAGGGGACTTGGGATGGCTTTTGGATTGATGCTGGGCTTGAGAGAAGGGGCCGAGGCTATGAGAGGGCGATCGAATCCCTGTTTGAAACTGCCCTTCGCGATTCCAGGGTGCATGCAGCCATATGCAGGTTGGGTGTAAGGATGCCTACTTTTGAGTAGGGTTTGGGGTTTGGGGTTTGGGGTTCGGGGTTCGGGGTTCGGGGTTTGGGGTTTGGGGTTTAGGGTTTGGGGTTTAGGGCCCCATAACCCCTTGATGAAGGAATCGACCTCAAAGATCATAGTGAGGAAGAAGCCCTATACTACATGAGATATAAAGTACATTCTTCAATTTAGCTCCCTAAACCCTCAACCCTCAACCCTAAACCCCGGGCTTCATCGTGCCGATGCAAGCGCCGGCCTCTCCATGCAATCTGCAAAGCTCCCCGAGGACGACTTGCGCGTCAGGCTGACACGGGCCTTGCCACTTGGACGCAGGGAGCGACGGGTCGCCCCGTATCCGATATCCGAGCTTAACACCAATCTCCTCTCCCCCCCCTCCCCTTCCTCTGCAATCCCAACCCAAAACCCTCCAATTCTCGATCTGTGTGTGACTATGTTTTCTTCGTTTACGGCGCTTGGAAAACGGGTCCTGACCAATCGGGTGATGTGCATGCAACTCTCGAGGTGACATCCAGGACTGGTGCACCCTATCATTCCTCGACCCAAGAGCAACCTAGGAATAAAAAGGGCGCCTTCTTTTGGTGTAAAGGGGCTTCTAAGGGAACCTAAGCCCGAAAAAGACAGGGAATCTCTGGGTTTCCTGACGAACCCTAAACCCTAAACCCTCAGCATGCCCTTCAACGTGAGCCGGGCGGCGTCGCCGTAGGTGTAGTCGCAAGTGCAGCCGCCCCGTGCAAACCAGCACGTTGATCGCATGACTTGGCCTCTCCGACCTCGGGAAGGGGGTTTAGGGTTAGGGTTTAGGGTTTAGGGTTTAGGGTTTAGGGTTTAGGGTTTAGGGTTTAGGGTTTAGGGTTTAGGGTTTAGGGTTTAGGGTTTAGGGTTTAGGGTTTAGGGTTTAGGGTTTAGGGTCAGGGGAGGGCGCGCGCTCGGGTGTGAAACGCCCCGGGCCGCGCGCTCGCGTTGCCCGTCAACCCACCCCGGCCACCCAAACTATACTCTATTAGGGTTTAGGGTTTATGGAATTTATTTTCTTGTGCTCTGATGCTTGCTTTGATGTTTTTAAAGTTGCGCTGTTAGGGTTTAAGCTGGGGTTGGGGGTAGCCTCGGCCCTTTTCGGGCCTTCGGCGTATCAGGGCCCGTAGAGGCCCTTATTTATTTGAAGGTCAGGGAAACCCTTTGTGTCTGCTCCTGGATTCCCCTTCTTTAAGGGCCTCAATTAAGCATCGATTTCACTACCAAAAAATCGCATTTTTCATTGCGGGTACGGGCATCCTGGGGTCCCCCTTCTTTTAGGGGGCCTTTTGAAGCCTTTTGAAGCATTTTGGTGGCTCTTGGGGTCTCTCGGGGCCTTGTTCGGACCTTCGGCGTGTCAGGGGCCGTAGAGGCTTTATTCATTTAAAGGTCAGGGAACCTATTAATGAATTTTTCGCCAATGAGAATTTCAATCGCTAGGGTTTAAGCTCGGGTTCGGGGTAGCCTCGGCCCTTTTCGGGCCTTCGGCAAGTTAGGGCCCGTAGAGGCCCTTATTTGCTTGAAGGCCTTCGCAGGGTTTTGCGGTGTTAGGGTTTAAGCTGGGGTTCGGGGTAGCCTCGGCCCTTTTCGGGCCTTCGGGACGTTAGGGCCCGTAGAGGCCCTTATTTGCTTGAAGGCTGTCGTAGGGTTTTGCGGTGTTAGGGTTTAGGCTGGGTTCGGGGTAGCCTCGATCCTTTTCGGGCCTTCGGCACGTCAGGGCCCGTAGAGGTCCTTGCTGATTTGGGGGAGCCATCGATTTCAGTACTAAAAAAAGAACATTTTTCATTGCGGGCAGGGGTGCCTAAAAACAATGTTTTCAATATTCAAAAATCGCATTTTTCATTGTGGGCACGGACAAATCTTGTAGTCCCCCTTCTTTTAGGGGGCCTTTTGAAGCCTTTTGAAGCATTTTGGTGGCTCTTGGTGGCTTGTTGGGGGCTTCCTAGGCATGCGATTCCAGGGCGTTGGTGTGGGGGGCCCTTCGCCCGAGGGGTCCTTGGCGGTCGGTTTTGCAAGGCCCTTGGTCCTTGGCCCCGCAAGGCCCTTGGCTTCCGAAGGCCCTTGGCGCGGGGGCCCTTTTGGCCCGGAACCCTTGGCCCTTGACCCTTGGGGGCTGGCCTGGGTTGGCCGTGGGCCTTTGGCCCACAGGTCTTTTGGCCCGACGAGTTTTGGTTTGGTCAGGATGGGGCTGGCCCAGGGCGCTTGGCCAGGGGCCCTTGGGGGCCCTTGGCCCGGGAGGCCTTGGCCCGATGACCCTTGACCCGGAAACGCCGAAATTGAGCAACCAGCCCCCCTCGCCAGCCTCCTGGTCCAGGAATCCAGCTACCAGGGCCAGGCCCCCTGGCAAACCCTGAACCCAAAACCCTGAACCGACCTCCAAAGGCAAAGGGTTACGATTTGGGGTTATACTTTAGCTACGCTAAAGGTGGTCTGGGTGCCGGCCATCCCTTAGCCGAGTACTGACGTTGTCGTAAAAAAGGCCGATGTCCGTTGGCCTGTCCAGGACAGACGGTGAGGCTTAACCCTCACCTTTCCGTTTCTCTTTTCGCTTGGGCGCTCGGGCTGTAAGGCCCTCGGCCGAGCGTTCGGGGTCTGTCGCTCGACGGAAGCGACCCCTCACTTAGTTTAGGGTTTAGGGTTTAGGGTTTAGGGTTTGGGGTTTGGGGTTTGGGGTTTGGGGTTTGGGGTTTAGGGTTTAGGGTTTAGGGTTTAGGGTTTGTCGGTCGTATTCGCTCGCTCGGGTGTAAAACACCCCGAGCCGCTCGCTCCAGCTTAGCTAAGTGACACCCACCCTAGACCCACCCAGACTCGACTCTTTTAGGGTTTAGGGTTTCTACCCCCAACCCCCTATCAAGGGGGCTTAGTTTTTTGTTCCGTGCTGGCCTGGGTGCAAGCAGTCCTTTTTTTGGTAAGGCTTTTTCGTGTTTGGGGTTGGGCCGAGAACCCCAGCAGAGATGAGCCGGCAGGCAGTGCGACGTGGGAGTCCTCCATCACTTCTCGCCAACCCTGCCTGGGCATGGATTGAAGGTGTCGGCTACAGCTTAGGGCCCAAGAGCCTCGCGTAAAAAACAACTGCAAGGTTTCATTTGCAGCGGCAACCCTATTTCGCAGCCTTCGAACTCTTTCGTCGCCCAACCTGAGCTCTTAGGATCTTGATCGCGCGATAGCAATCTCACATGCTGGGAACGGCAGCAACTTGTAAAAATATATGCTGACCCCCCTCCAAGACCCGCCTCTCCCAGAAGAAACCATCTCCGATTCCCACATCGTGCAGCTAGTGTATCCAAAGCCAAGCCACATCTCGCAGGTCGCCCAGGAAAGGCCTTGCAAAATCCTACCCGAAGCAGCCTAATCATAGCAACATGAATAACAGCACTCAAATGACAACAAGACACATAAGAATCGTAATATTAATCTATTCACAATCAGAAAATTCAAGAAATTTCATAATAATGTGCCGGAAATAATGACAACAACACATCATCCCTCAACCCCAAGCTCTGAACAACACCGTTTCCACTTGCTTTGGGATTTGGCACTGGATGAGTAGCTGCTTCTGTGCTAGATTCTTCTGGCGATTATCAGTATTTGACAATCACAATAATGAGAATCATAAAAAATCAAAAAAACAATCAGGGTTAGGAATTTAATACTCATCAGAATTATAACAATGATAACAATAATCATCAGTATGCTCACTGCTATTGTTCGCTGCATCTGGCGCCTGGGCCAAGGGCACTGCAAGGCACAAAGGCTGAACTCAAGTTCAACCCTGCCTCGAACCAAGCACTACCAAGCTACTATAAGCCGCTAAAGAACCCCCCAAAACTATGATCAGAATAACAATATTATTAATAATAGTGGGAATGGTAATAGTAAAATAATAATTATAATTATGATAATAATACTGATGATAATAATAATAATAATAATCCTCGATGTGGAAATATGGACCAGAGGCTCGAACCGTCGTTGAGGCCGCTTGTCACACGTGCCTCCAGGCAGAACACAAATCAAGCATTGTCAGATTCACGGCTTGCATCTAGGGGCTTAGGGCTTAGCGTTGCAGTTCAGGCTACTTGTGCAGAAATAAGTACTGGGATCCGCCTGCACACATGCTAATGAATTGTAGTACTTACGAGAAAAGGACCCGTAGTCGTGGCGTGCCAAATTGGCATCCCAGGGATTAGGTATCTGTGGAATTCATTTGGGGTTTGCGGGTAAGGTTTCCTCCTTTGCTCTTTCATGATCACATGTTTCCAGGTTGCGAGAATCTGCACGTAATCCTTTGCCCTTTTGCAGCAACACCCTGCCCTCACCCTCCCGACCGCTTCGTGAAACAAGCAAGCCTCCTGATGCCCGAGCTGTTTTTAATGGGTGGAACTCTATCCTGCCACACACACACACAGCGGAAACAAGGGCAACAGCCACAGTCCGCTTGGCGGCGATTTACAGTTTTGAAGGCCTAGGGAAAATTTGGGGGAAACCGCGACGGTCACCTTGAGCGGATCATTTGCATCGGGGCGCCAACCGATGGTAACCTGCTCAGACCACTAGCTGGCAGAAAGTGGAAACTACAAGATATATACCATAGTGGTACACATTTCACCTGCCAATGCTAATGGCAATGGAAGCTACAGAATCTCAGAATAAGTCGTCAATGCAAATGCCAGTGAAACAGCAGCCCAACACGACAAGCGCACCGAAGACCAAGCAGAAGCAGACTGATGCCCAGCAGAAATAACAAGACCGGCAAAGAGGAATGCGTTTTCAGGGGGCTACGGACTAGTTCGTTCTGATCATTCTGGAATCCTGGCGCTGATGCACTAGGGGTATGATAGTGCAGGTCGCACCTGGTTTTTCCGTGGCTCTTGCTCCTCCTTTACGTGGAGCTTCGCCTTCTTCACCTTCATAGGCCCCAATTCGGGGCTTCGGGTAGCTCTAGGAAGCCTGTTTTCATCCATGAGCTGCCAGCTTCTTGCACTGATGTGAATAGAAACGACTAAATGACCAACAGGGGGGAAATGTAGAACTCGGAAGACGCCGATCTCGGAGAACGGGGTCAACCGAAAGACGGGCGAAAAAACATCGCCCAAAGAAAGAAAATCCGCAAATGTCCTTAGCTGCTCTGCACCGTGGCCTGAGCAGGTCGAGGCAACAAATGCGGATATCATGAAACACTACACCGCCTACCGGGACCTACCGCCTACGGCGAGTGGTGAAAACGCAAAAAGGGCCACCCCTCCAACCCCCCGCCTCCGAACACGAGGCCCCAAGAGGAGAGGAAAGGAGCAAACGCGAGGAAAAGCCAGCAGGCACCTCGAGACAGCCCCCATCATGAGCACCGGTACGTTAGGCAGACGCCTGCCTCCTAGACACCAAACAACCCTCCCTGACTTTCGCAAGCCACGCAAGGATTCCTGTATCCAGTTCCCTCCTGTTCATCAAGCCCGACGGCCAGCCCAATCTTTTCTGTAAGACATCAAAACAAGCATCAGCAGACACCTGCCTTGGCCTTGGTGCCATTGCGCAATCCCAAGCAACGTGCTGCCAATCCGCAACGCTACACTTGCAGTATGGGCATCCAAGCGCACTGTTTTTCTTCATTTGGTTGAACTTTTGTGGTGACACTGCAGCCCCACGCACCACTGCCAACTGATGTGCAGTGAGGTCCAAATAGCGGAGTTCCTTATGACGCGCCTCACCATAAGGCACGTTCCGGCACATGCGGCTGTCTATCC